CTTACCAGAGCACATACCCTCCCCAGTGTCTATCACCCAGTCACCCCATCCCTCCCACCCCACCCCCCACTCCAGCAACCCTAAGGACTATTTTGAACAAGCATCTGGACTCCCTGGGTTCCTGGCTAGCCAATGGTAAATCTATTTCCTAATGATTTGGACCACGTCTCCCCTCCACTCTTGAAGAGCACACTGAGAACATGCAGAGCTGGGGTAAAGCAGGGTTTCTCAACCTCAGCACCATTGCCCGTTGGGCCAGATGGCTCTCTCTTGGGTGTGTGTGGCAGTCAATGTCCCACAGACTGTAGTATGTGTAGAAGCATCCCTGACCTTGACCCCCTAGATACCAGTAGTATTCCAGTTCTCCCAGTTGTGACATTCAAAAATGTCTCCAGACATTGCCAGATGTCCCCCCTGGATGGGGAAGGGGAAGATCGGGAGACATAGTTAGAAAGGACTTTAGGCCAGCTACAGTGCAGAAACAATTCAATACCCAACACACGTATCACCTACCCGCAAATATTCCTCCTATTAAAATGTGAAATGGCTGCCCTGTCAAACTTGGAAGTGGGTCCAGTGACAACAAGCATTTTAACCTAAAAATTTTCAGTTTGGGTATTACAGGTCTTTCAGTCTTTGAAAATGTTATGAGGCTTGAAAATAATACAATCATGCTATTATTACCATTGGCATATTAATAATAAAAAGTTTCTAGGTTAGGCATTGTGTACACAAGGAGAAGAAGAAATTGATTCCCTGAATATTATGGAAAATTATTTTCTCCCTCTGGATCGGAGGTTGTTAAACAAGCGACCCATATCTGGCCCATGAAAAGTGTTTGGTTTGCCCCACACAACGTTTCAAATAAAAGATCTGAGTCCACATGTTAAAGTTAGGAGCTCTCACATAAAAGTTCAGATTTTTGCCCTCTCTTGAAAAATCAGGTCTGATAACACTGGACGCACATTTCTGCATGGCCTCCGCTGGAGAGGGAGAGAAGCCTGCCCCCTTCACACGGTATGTGCTGGTTTGTCATAGTCTCCACCATTCCCTGTTGTCTCCCTGACACTAAGGGCGTTTTCTTACCTTAACTTTCTTCAGACACCGACAGGCACCAAATGAACTTGCAGGCCCTGTGATAATTCTCCTTTCTTAGCATACCAACAGGGCGTCACAGCGAGTCACAGAATTTAGGGGAGCTGAGAGACCATCTCAGGCACTCTCCCACCTTGCACATGGGGGGCTCTGGCCCCAGGAGGCAGAACTGGCAGGTGGGCCAGAGTCTCCCCCATTCCTGCCCTGGTCCCTCTGTTGCCCTCAGGCTGTCGCTGACCTGAAGGTGGTTACAGAATCCCGGGCACGTACCTCTGACCATTCTCCTGTGATCCAGACATACTCGCAGGGCTGCAAACTACAGCTCTCATGGTCCACAGGCCGCTTGCTCATGTCGCAGCGTAAGCCATGAACCTCGCTGCCTTTGTCCGCGTCCACACACACCACCTTGCGGTACCTGGAGCCTTCGCCGCAGGTCTTGGTGCACTGTTCACGACAGACAAAACGGGGGTTGATATTGGAAAGTAATACATGGCTTATCATATGTTGTTACTGTACAGATTAACTTTCCCGTCTATATACCCTTTAGGACCGTGAGGCCTCTGAGGGCAGGAATGATCAGAGAGCTCACTGCTTTATCCCACTTACCCCCAACACTGGTCCAGGCACAGCAACAAGTAAGTGGCTACTGGAATGAAGGAATGAAAGCTTGAATAAACGGATTTCAGGTGTGGAAAGGACCTTAAGGCTTGATTACTTTACTCACTCAAATACTGAACCTCTTTAAAACTTCCAGCGAAGTGGTTATCAGACTGGTGTCTAAATACCCCTAGAGTCAGAGAAGCAGTGATGTCACCTGTCCAGGTGGCCCATTTCATCTTACTATTAAATATATCACTTTGCAGATGGCAGCCTTTTGTCCTGGTTCTCCATTCCAGGGGAGCATGAAGGACAAGTTTCAGTTCTCCCAATCATCCCCCTTCAGGGACTTGACATACTTTGCTTTGTTGTGACCCCCGACTGCCTTTTCTTCTCCAGGACGGACTGCTCTCAACCCTCGTTCACTCAGGAAATATTCACCAAGTTCCTAGCGTCAGGCCCTGGGATGGGTCCTGAGTCAACAAGAGTGGACAAGTACAGCACCTGGTCTCAGAGAGGAGCTTGTATTTTGGGAGCAAGTACAGACAAAGAGGACGTAGACAGCTAGGTAGTGAGATTTAGCGAGTCCTGTGATTTCCATTTTTCAGGTGGAGAAACTGGGACTTAGTCTACATGCCCTGTCCCAGATCAAACATCTCTTTGTGAGGTCGATGGGACACACATTTTTATCCCCATAAACCAAGGCAGGAATACAGAGCAAGCGGTAGGTTCTGTTCTAGGACTATCTCTATGTTGCCCGCAAGTTCTTTATCTTTTCTCTTTAACCAACAGCAAACCCCACCTTTGAAGTTTAGCCTAGTTATCTGTGTTGCTAAAGGTCTCTCAAAGCCTGTCTTATCTAAAGCATCTATGTCACCCAGCATTTCAAGACTCTAAACTACCTTGGAAAACCACAGTGAGTTAAGCCAGGGGTCTTTTATTTCCTTTACACCAGGATTATACACTCTCTTGTCCCTTGGCCTTATCTAACTCACCGACAAACACCAAAAGCTACTGTTAGCACGGTGTCTTTTAAACTTTCTCTTTTTAGTATTTGGGGAGACCCATGAACCCCCACCTGTCTTTCTCTTCTCTCACACTGCCTTCCCTTTTATTACCCATCTCATCCCAAAGGCATTTCAGTTTGGGATCCAGTCTGACTCAGAAATGTCTTTCCACATATGACTTGTGCCTTTCTTTCTTTCTTTTCTTTTTTTGGTAGTAAAATACATGTAACATTTACCATTGCAACCATTTTAAAGTGGAAAATTCAGTGGCATTTAATATTCCAGAATATTTTCGTCACCCCAAAAGGAGACCTTGTACCCATTAAGCAGTCAGTCCCCACTTCCCCAACTGCCAGCCTGTAGCGACCACCATCTGCTCTCTGTCTCTATGGATTTGCCTGTTTTGGCTATTCATATAAAGGGAATCCTACAACATGTGGCCTTTTACGACTGGTTTCTTCATTTAGCATGATGTTTGCAAGGTTCATCTATGTTGTGGTGGGTATCAGTGCTTCATTCCTTTCTTTGCCTGAATAATCATCTGTTGTACGGCTTTTTTGTCCCCTCAGATGACAATGGACACCGGGTTGTTTCCATCTTTCAGCTATTGTGAATGGTGCCACCATGCACATGTGTGTCCAAGTTTGAACATCAGATTTCAATTCTCTTGGGTCTACTCGGGAGTAGAAATGCTGGGTCATGTGGTGCACCCTGTGTCTTTCATGAGCCACTTTGTTGTTTTAGGGAATAAAAGGACTATGTGATATGTCCTGGTAGACCCCTCTCATCTGCAAACTTAACTCATTGTTTCTGCTGCTTGGAAGCAAACCTCAGGGTCTAGAATTTGAATGTGGAGTCATTCAAATTTTTCTGGGGGTACAAATATGAATTGAAAGCTCTGTGGGGTGAGCATGGAGGAGCAAATCACTTCTAAGATACCCTAGCTCAGCCCTCGCCTGGGGTTTCCTGGGCCTTGGAGTATGCTGGGTACTATTGTGAAGTAACGACACTATTGTTTATTCATTAAAAAAAAAAAAGCCAAAGGAGTTACAGAGCCACTGGATGTTAAAAAACAAAACAAAAATGTGGTTAATCTGCGATGTGTAGATAAATGCAAAAGAAATAGTTAACTGTCCATAGAAAAAATAATTCTTTAGAAAAGCAGATCCTGATGACAGAGCAGCCTAAACTGGAGTAAACCTTCCAGTGTACTCTCATTTTCACTCATCCCCAGGGCTGCAACCTGTGTCAGTAAGTAACAATTTAGAGCAGAAATGCAAAGTTTCCTAGACCCTTGTTTGCTTTTTAAGTGCTTCTGCCTTGGTCTTTAAGAAAGGTTAACTAGCATAAAAACTCTCTTGCCAACAGTAGAAAAGGGAGTTGGGGAACCTTACCTTGAACGTAACTTTTAGAAAAATTAAGCTAAGTGAGTAAGTGACTTGTCCAGTGCTTTGGAATTAGTCAGTGGCAGCTGTGAAGGTCACCTGGCAAGGCTCTTCTCCTGGGGTCCTAACTCAAGTATGGGGGCTGGGTGAGCAGAAAGCAAACCCACCCAAGCTACTGCATTTCATCAGCTTTTGGTAGTATCACCGCCCACCCCCTGACCCCAGGATTAAGGACTCTTTCCTCGAATATGACCTAGAGTGTTCCAAAAATAGCCAGAACATTCAACTAGCCTCATTTTAACTTCCAAAAGGTTTTCTCAATTCTCCTTGCAGCTTTGAGAAAAAACTATGTACCAAGTGTATAAGTAACACCACCAGCCTCCTTGAATTTTAGGACACGCTGTAATTCAGCAAGTCAGTGGTCACGGGGCCGGGCTAAATCTGGAGGCTTGTTCATTGTCCCGCAGGCTACATATGCCTTTAAATGTGCTGAAATTTACAGGAGGAAAATACCTGTCCAAATTTGAGAGTGAAGAAGACCTAAAATAAACTTTCAAGGTACTATTTTATTTAGCCAGATTGGCCATAGGGTGATGGTCTAAAAAGGGTCAGTTAATGCAATGGGTAGAAACTGCCTTTCCTTAAGGTGGTAATGAGGTTGCTTTATACTTTTTTGGTGGGATTTCCTAATCATGGGTAGAAAAAAATCACTTTCCATAAACAAGACTGTTAATTTTCTTCACAGATAAAGTAATTTGTAGTGTTGTTTCTAGTTCAAGACTACCACTGTGAGCTAGTGTGTGAACAGAAGAGTCCCAGAACAAATCGGGACCCTGACAGCACGGTGTTCTGGGTGTGCTACATAGAGTTTTTATGTCATAAGGAACAGCAATTACAGGTCAGTTTATCTAACAATGCTTTAAATTAAAAAAAGAAAAAACAGTCTTTAAATTACCAAGGGGTTCTTTCTGAAAGCTCATTTTAAAGTCAGGTATGTGGAGTTTGGACATTCTTGCCCCCAAATGGTATATTTGCAGGGGGAAAAGGCAGAAATAATAACTATGGAGACATTTGATACCTTTAAAGTTATTCGCTCATCCTGGTATATATATACAATGGAATATTATGCAGCCCTCAAAAGGAATGAGATCTTGCCATTTGCAACGATGTGGATAGAACTGGAGGGTGTTATACTGAGCAAAATAAGTCAATCAGAGAAAGACATGTATCATATGACCTCACTGATATGAGGAATTCTTAATCTCAGGAA